GGGGCTGATGGCACAAATCAGGAGAGAATGGGAATATCCCTTAGGGAATTAACCACGGAGCCAAGTGCTCCTCTGCCAGTGCTGCCAGTGTTTAACTGGCTGGGAACTGTGAGCCACTGGGAGTGTTTGATGCCATCCCATAAAAGAGATTGGAGAGAGTTGGGCATGTCCAGTGGTGAAAGCTGGGTTGGAAGGGAGGGATGGCTGTGTGGGATGTGTTGGGAATGTTGGGAATGTTGTGTGTTTGGAGCAGCTGTGGCAGTGCCAGGTTATTGGATTTGGGCTCCTCGTTTGGGAAGAGCGTTCCCATTACGGCTGGGAACGGGGTTAATCAGCCTTCGGGGCGTGCCTGGGACCCGGGTCAGGCGGGATGGGGGGGCCTGGCAGGGAGGCTCAGGCAGACCCGGAGCTGCTGCAGGGAAAGCTCTGGCAGCGCTGCCTGACAAATCCCAGCGGGAATTCAGCCGTGGAAAACCCTGTCCTTGTAAACACGGCCTGACAACTTCCCTGGCTGTGCTTCCTGCAGCTGCCTCCCATCCCTCTGCTCCACAGGGAATCACAGCTGCTGGCAGCAGGGATGAGCTCTGAGATTTTCCGTGTCTGACATCGGCTCTGCCGCGTTCCTGACAGCACAAACGCACCGGGATTTAACCAGGACCCACGGCTGCCCCTGCACAGGGAGCAGATGCCAGAGCTCCTCCTCTCCAAGGGTTTTCCCTCCTGGATTTTGTTCATTTTTGGAAGAGCTTTGCTTTATGGTCCAGTGAGGGTGACCCAAATCCCCTTTGGAGTTGACGGCTCTGGGATTTTTGCATTCTCCCGGTGTTTCTGTAGCATTGGGATGTGGCTAGCACATGAAGAGGATGCCCCAAAGGCTGGGCTTGCATCCCCCTCTGCTGTGACTGGCATTTGATTCCTTCCCTCTGCCCTTTGCTGGGAAAGGACGTTAAATCCTTCCTGCCCATTGTAAGCATTCCCTCCTTCCCAAGGGTCCATCCTTTCCCCTGGAAAGGGATTCCTCTGGGGATCCCTCATGGATTTTCTTCCCATCCTTCCATTTTTAAAATGTCCCGCTGCCTCCTGCCTGGGAGGACAAAGGGACCATTGGGATGGAGCTGGGATGGAACAGGGATGGGGATGGGATGGAATTGAGATGGAGCAGGGATGGAATTGAGATGGAGCAGGGATGGAATTGGGATGGAGCAGGGATGGAATTGGGATGGAGCAGGGACGGAGCAGGGATGGGGATGGGATGGAGCAGGGATGGAACAGGGACGGAACAGGGATGGGGATGGGATGGAATTGAGATGGAGCAGGGATGGAATTGAGATGGAGCAGGGATGGAATTGGGATGGAACAGGGATGGGGATGGGATGGAGCAGGGATGGAATTGGGATGGAGCAGGGATGGAATTGGGATGGAGCAGGGATGGAGTCATTCCTCCATCCAAGTGCCATCAGGACGGGTCTCGGTGCCACCCGCGCCTCAGTGGGAGAGCTGGGAGGCTGGGAATGGATCCCTCTGGCAAACCCCTGGCAATAAAGTCTCTTCTCCTCCTAAACAGGATCTTTCCCCATCCTCTCTGGATGTTCTTGCCCAAACCCATCCCAGTTTTTCAGTTCCCCTTCTCCTGGGCCCATGCTGAAAATCTCTTTGTTTTCATTGATCCCGCTCGTGGTGAATCCTTTGGATGTGGCTCGCTGGGAAATGTCTCCCTGAGCCTTTGTGCCCCACATTTGTGGAGAAATGACTGCACAGGGTTCTAATTCCTTCTTTTTTCCATTGTTTTAACTCCTCCTGACACCTCCTTCCTGCCTGCATCTCCATCTGTATTTGGAAAAGTAATTCCCAGGCTTCCAATGAGTTCCTTTTCCCATCATTTTTCTGTGGATTGAATGGATGATTTCTTAGCAGAAATGTTTTTTCTGTGCATCCTGGTAGAAACTGGAATGCCTCATTTTCCATGACTCTGGACAGGCCTCTGGAAAATCAGTGCCAGGCCTGATGGATTCACAGGCAGCAGGATTTGTTCATCCTGGGGTTTCTTGGAGCTTCTGGTGGTGGTGGTGTCTGGTTTGTGCCTGGAAATGTTTTTGGGATACATCTGGTCTGAGTTTTGCCTTCCCAAAATAAACATTTTCCTTGGGTTTCCCATAGGCTAAGGAAGGGCTCAGGAAGTCACTCCAAGGCAGTTCATGGATTGGACTCCATCATCTTAAAGGCTTTTCCCAGCCTGAACAATTCCATCAAATCCCATTCCACAGATTTAGAATTATTTCCCTTTATGCCCAAGCAGGGATTTTCCAAGGAGCTGTCAAAGGTCCCGTGCTCCATCAGAGGGAACAAATTGGAATTTTTATGGACTATTCTCAGGGAACGTGTCTGGAGTTTTGTTTCTGGCCCTTTTTATTGGAAGTTAAAGCATTCCCAGGAGCCAGGGGTGTTTTCTCCCCCTCAGCCACACAAACTGAGCTTAAATCATCCTGCTCTGCTCGTGTTCACTGCCTCCCGTAAATCCCAGGCCTTCCCAACAGCTCCAGGATTTATCCTGATGATCTGATAATGCTCCAAGTCCTTTCCTCTTGTCAGGGAGCCTGAAAACAAGAGGAGACTCTGGCAGAACAATGTTGTATTTTCCCAAATGATTTCTTCCAGCAAAAGGGAGAGGGGGAGGAACATCCTCAGGGAGGGCTGAGGGAACAGGAGAGGGGCAGGACACAGGGAATGGCTCCCAGAGGGCAGGGATGGATGGGACAGTGGGGAGGAATTCCTCCCTGGGAGGGTGGGCAGGGGCTGGGATGGAATTCCCAGAGCAGCAGGGGCTGCCCTGGATCCCTGGCAGTGTCCCAGGCCAGGCTGGAGCAGCCTGGGCCAGTGGAGGTGTCCCTGCCTTGGCACAGGATGGTCCTTAAGGCCCAAATCCAAAACATTCCATGACCCCACTGATGGGTAACGCCACAGTCCCGTTTCATGGCAGCTGCAAGGAATGCACGTGGATTTTTTAACCTGGAAATATTTTCAATGCTGTTAGGAAGAATGTTTTGTATCTCCTTTGGGAACAGTGGGAATCCTTGTGGCTGAGAGGTCTCATGGTTGTCCTTTCCCAGTCCCATGAGGTCTCTTTTCCTGGGATTGTGATTCCAACCCTGCTGTCCCTGTCAGGTTCCATCTTTTCCTTGGATAAACACATCCTAATGGGAGCTTTTACAGAGAATTTTTACAGCCATATAAAACCCCATCAAATTGCTTGGATTTATTTGCCTGCAGACTGTGCTGAGCACAGCAGCTCCAAAACCCTCAGTCCCTGGGCTGTTGGACCCATTCCAGCCTTGTTGTTTTCCCCTGATTTTCTCCACTGCAGCTTTTTCTCCTTGCTGGATTTTAAACTCCCCTCATCAGGAATTTTTGACTTCTGCCTTCCAGAGGTTCAGCTTCTCTTTCCAGCCTGAGCTCTTTAATTGGTCAGGCAAGTATTAAAATGGGATTTTTTTTATTTGTATATCAAATCCTTTTTAAAGGACGTATTGTTTTTCCCCTCACAAACACTTTGTATTTGAATTCAAATATTATTTCCTTTCTCTCCCATCCCACCTGCTTCCCTGGCACTGAGATTAGTCAGGATATGTCAATATTTGAGGGAATAAATCGCTGCTGGCTCCAGCTTCTGTTTGGGTTTCTGACTCATCTCAGGGTCAAATGAGCTCAGCAAATGTGGGAGAGATTCTGGAGGGACTGGAGCTGCTCTGGTTCCTCATTGCTGGGATTTACTGGTTGGTATTGGTTTCCAGACTGGGCTTTCTGGGGTCTTTATCCCAGGATGTCCCCAGGCTGTCAGAGCAGGGATTGATTGGGGTTAAATTGGGGATTTCTGGGAGTTTTCCCATCGAGGGGGAAGGCTGAGCCTGAGCTGAGCCCTGGCCCTGAGTGTCCCCACCAGGAAAGGTGTGACATCTCTGCTGCCACCAGGAACCTTGGGTTCCCACTGGGAATTCTGGGTTATCCACTGGGAATTCTGGGTTACCCACTGGGAAATCTGGGTTACCCACTGGGAAATCTGGGTTATTCACTGGGAATTCTGTGTTACCCATTAGGAAATCTGGGTTATTCACTGGGAATTCTGTGTTACCCACTGGGAATTCTGGGTTATCCACTGGGAATTCTGGGTTATCTCACTGGGAAATCTGTGTTTACTCTGCTTGGAAACAAGTCTACCCTTTTTGGAAACCTGTGTTCCTCACATGTCCATCCCACTTGGAAATTAATGTCCACTCCACTTGGGAATGTGTCCATCCCACCTGGAATCCTGTCCATCCCACATGGAAACCCATATTCTCTTACTGGAAATCCTGTGTTCTCCCACTGGGAACCCCATGTTCTGCACATCCCTCCCTCTTGGAGCCCCATGTCCCCCCTGCTTTGCAGTGCTGATGATGTCTGAAGTTCCACCTGGGCTTTGCCAGGAATTTCTATCAGGAATCCTCCCAAAATAAACTGAAGAAGAGCAAAATGATGGAAGAAATCTTTCCTCATTTCCCTGAGTGTTTTGAGCTCTTCTTATTTTCCAAGCAGTGGCAGAGGGAGGAATTAAGGGGATATTGGATTTTTAATGCCAGGAGAGCATTCCCATGGCATGGATGGACTCAGACTCCACCCAAAACCAGGGAATTGTGTGAATTTTAGCAGGAGCTTGAGGCCAGTGTGTGTGTCTGTCAGAGCTTGGACTGACTGGAAGGGCTCCAGGAGCTTTTGAGCTTTCCCTCCAAGCAGCTTTTCCTTTCTCTCTTCCCTCTTTTATTTTCCATAAGAAGAGCACAATGATTAAACAAGTGATTAAACCTGGATGGATTTCTGAGGATATTTCTGTGGATATTTCTGAGGATATGTGTGTGGATGTTTCCCCCTGACCTGCAGCTTGTGGCTGTTTCCATCCCTTTGCTGGTTGGGAATGGGTGTTGAATATGTGGGAAATATTCCCTAATTCCTCTCTTTTTTCCCCACAGGTGTTTACAAAATATGGGAAATGCTACATGTTTAACTCAGGAGAGGAGGGGCGGCCTCTCCTCACCACGGTGAAGGGGGGAACAGGGAATGGCCTGGAAATCATGCTGGACATTCAGCAGGACGAGTATCTGCCTATCTGGGGAGAAACAGGTAAGAGCTGCCTCTTCCTCGGGTGATTGCCTTGGAAAAACCGTCCCATTATCCCAGCCCATTATCCCATCCCATCCCAACCCATCCCATCCCATTATTCCAGCCCATTATCCCATCCCATTATCCCATCCCATTATCCCAGCCCATTATCCCATCCCATTATCCCAGCCCATTATCCCATCCCAACCCATCCCATTATCCCATTATCCCATCCCATCCCTAAATCAGCTCTGGGAGGAGGAGCCTGGCCAGTCCAGGATGTGTCACTTTTCTTCCCAGGGTTTGTGGTGGCCCCTTGGGACCAGAATTTTGAGGAGTGCTGGGCTTGGATGTCCCAGCCCCAAAGTTTGGGATGCCAGGCAGGAATGGCACTCCTGTACTGGTGCCATTTGTGGGTGACAGGAGTGTGGGGAATTCTTCAGAGGCTCCAGCACATCCCTCTCCCCTGGAAAGGCATTTTTGGGAGGCTGTGTTCAAGGTGGATTCCAGCTGCTCTCTGAGTTTTCCTCTCCCTTGGAATTTGGGAATATTTGCTGCCCTGAGAGTTGTGTTTTTTGGGCTGGTGCTGTCGGGGTGGACCAAGGACTGGGTTCCTTGGAGCATTTGGGATGGATGGAATCTGTCTGGGAATGAGCCAGCTGGGCTGAGCATCTCTGGAGGAGCTGGGACTGAGTGGTCCTGGAGCAGGAGGGGCTGTGGGATGTCCCCAGCCCCATGGATTGGGATGCAGCTCCTGGTGCCACATCCTTTAATGAACCTGCTGGAAAAGGGATGGGCAGAAGGGTGGGGGACAGGATGGGGACAGGATGGGGACAGTGCCACCAGGGCCACCTGGTCACAGCTGCCCTTAGCAGTGCCCAGCAGTGGTGGTGCAGCTTTCCTGAGCCCACGGTGACATTGGAAACAAAGCATCCAAAAAAAAAAAAACCCACTGGAAAGCTTGCAGGAGCTGTGTGTGTGGCAGAGCCCTGTGGGGAGATTCATCCAGGGTGAGCTGTGGTTGTTTTCGGGATCAGGGAGGGGAGAGGAGGAAATCCCACTCCAGGTCAGTGTCACTGTGGCTCTGTCACCCCCTCCAGCACCTCTCAAACTCCTGCTCGGGCAGAGAGGGGATTGGGCTCTGTTCCCAATTCCCTTTTCTTTCTGTGGTGTTTGACTCTTCCAAGCACATCCCTGTGGGCCCATCAATCATTCCAGGCTGCTTTTAGAGGCTTTTTGAGGAGCTTTGCTCCCAGATTTCAGCTCCAAATCAGCCTGGTCTGGCCCAGATGAGGGGGAGGACACAGAGATTTGGGATAATCACTCAGGGAACTGGTTTGAGGTCTTGTCCTTTTAGAGATAAAACGGGCTCAGGATGGGGGTGGGAGCAGGAGGAGCAGCCTCCACTTCAGGGTTTCATTTCCCACAGGGAGACAGAGCTGCCCTGGGGGACCTGTGGGGACAGGAAACACCCCAGGGATGGCTTGGGGACATCCCAGAGCTGGTGAGCACCTGGAGCTTTGTGTTCATCCCCAGTGGGATCTCACATCGTGGAATCCCAGGATGGTTTGGGCTGAAAGAGATCTTAAAAATTATCCAGTGTCACCCCTGCCATGGGCAGGGACACCTTCCACTGTCCCAGGCTGCTCCAGGCCCCAATGTCCACCCTGGCCTGGGACACTGCCAGGGATGCAGGGGCAGCCACTGCTGCTCTGGGCACCCTGTGCCAGCCCTGCCCACCCTCTCAGGGAACAATTCCTGCCCAATATCCCATCCAGCCCTGCCCTGGGCAGTGGGAGCCATTCCCTGTGTCCTGTCCCTCCATCCCTTGTCCCCAGTCCCTCTCCAGCTCTCCTGGAGTCCCTTTAGGCCCTGGCAGGGCTCTGAGCTCTCCCTGGAGCTTCTCCAGGTGAACATTCCCAGCTTTCCCAGCCTTTTCTCACAGGACAGGACCTCTGTGAGTTTCTTCAAGGAGATCCAGCCCTGGTGTCCCAGCATTCCCACTTTGCTGCCTTTTTGGTGCTGCCCTTTGGAAAAGATGTAGGAGGATCTGGCTGGGAATGTACTAGGGGTGTGCTGGGACTTGCTGGGAATTGCTGGGAATGTGATGGGAATGTGCTGGGAATGTACTGGGAATATTCTGGGCTTCTCCATCCCTGTCATTCTGGGAAAGGTGGATCAGTCTCAGGGGGTGAATCAGCCTCACATTGCACAGGAGGCAAAAAAAAAAAAAGGAATAATAAATAAGAGAGGATTAAAAAAAATAGGAATAATAAATAAGTGAGGATAAAAACTGGGAGGGAAAAAGCTGAGGGAGGAGTTTTCCCCTCTGGTCCTTCCACACCCATTGGCAGCAGCTCCATGCAGAGGGGTGGGATGGCAGCTCCCTCCTCTGCTCCCTCCTCCAGACACCTCCCAAGCCCTGAGTGTGCCCAAGGCACTGGAAACCTGTCCTGGCTGTGGGCCTGGGGGAGAAAAAACAACCTCAAGTGTTCATTCTTGTCAAAAATGGTGCTTGTGATGTCTTGGGAGTTCAGAGCTGCCTTCGTGGGAGGATCCTGTGAAGTTCAACTTCCCCTGGTGCCCCCCCGACCCCATCAGTGCCCATCCCACCCAGACTGAGCAGAGGGGGAAATCTCCTGCCCATGGACCTGTTTAGAGCTGGATTCTCATGTCCCAGGGTCTGAGCTGATCTTGGAGTCTCCTGTTCCTGGCTCTGGGTTCTGTTGGATTCTCCTGGATCTGGTTGATTTTGGATTCTCATGTCTCTGGACCTGGGCTGACATTCTGGGCTTGGATTGCACTGGGAGTTACTGAGGTCTCTAGGTTTAAAGAATTTTACAGGACTCAAGGAAAAGCTCCATAAACAAGAGAAGTGATGAAGGAGAAGCTCCTGGGCTCATGCCAAGGAGCCTTGGCCATGTTCTCACAGGCCCAGGGGGACCTGCCTGCCCTCAGAGCTGGTGGAACATCGATCTTGGCCTTCCAACAGGAGCCTGCTCCTGTCCCACGGCCCCTCAGCAGCTTGGGCAGCCTGGCCTGGATCCCCTGGGTCACCCTGGGCACCTCCAGCATCCCAAATGGAGCTCTGGGG